TCAGGGGTGGGGGGGGGGGGCAGTGGTAAAGCGCTTGCTGTGTGAGCTTGAGGGCCTGAGTTCTGAACCCCGGTCTCCACAGAAAAGCCTGGCACAGCAGCACATGTGTGCAACCCTAGCACCAGGGCTGGGCAGAGACAGGTGGATCCCAGTGGAATCACTGGTCGGTCTAGCTGAGACAGCAAGCTCCAGGTTCAGTGAGAGACTGTCTCAAAAATAAAGTAGGCCGGGCATGGTGGCACACGCCCGTAGTCCCAGCACTTGGCAGGCAGAGGCATGCGGATCTCTGTGAGTTCAAGGCCAGCCTGGTCTACATAGTGAGTTCCAGGACAGCTGGGGCTACAGGGAGACCCTGTCTCAAAAAAAAAAAACTGAAAAAAAAAAATAAATAAATAAAGTAATAAATAAGGCAGACACCCTCCTCTGGCCTCCATGGGAACTGTATTTACATGCGCAAACTCATACACGGCCACACATGCACTCATATAACGAAAACTTAAAAATTCTTGGGGCTGGGGAGATGGTTCAGTGGTTAAGAGCACTGGCTGCTCTTGCAGAGGACCTGGGTTCCATTCCCAGCACCCACATGGTGGCTAACAATCATCCATAACTCCAGTTCCAGGGGGTCTGACACCCTTTTATCAACGTAGTCTTTTCTTAATGGCTTTTGGCCTCTTAGCTGGGGTGTCTCCCTCTCCCCCAAGTGGCCCTCAGGGCCCCTGGTCTCACACGTGCTGCTGCTTCCAAATGTGCTACAACATGGAAAAATGCTTTTGAGAAAAACTGAGTAACAAAACAGGAAATGCTAATTTTTTTTTTTTCGAGTCAGGGTCTCCCTATAGCTCCAGATGGTCTAGAACTTGGTATGTACACCAGGCTAGCCTTGATCTCAGAGACCTGCAAAAATCCTAATTTTTTAAAAAAATCTAACACTCTTATTAAAAACTCACTAAAGGTGATTTTCATTTTTAAAAAATGGATTAAAGACTAGGGATTATTAAAGACGAAGGCTTTTCTATCTCTGGCTAGAGTAGATAACCCCAAACAAATTATTAATGGCTAACTAAGGTTCTGGATATTACAAAATTTCACAAACTTCAAATTATGAGGGTGTGCAGTGGGCTAGGAGGGCAGATGTACCAAATGTCCTGGAGCTGGGAGTGGCTGTGAGCCGCCCAACACAGGTGCTGGGAACTGAACTCCCACCATAAGAGCAGTAAGTGCTCGTAACTGCCGAGTTATCACTCCAGCTCCCCCCCCCCTTTAAAAAAATTCTACAAATCCCATCTGGTTGTATCTTTAAGTTTATATTTATTTACTTTTATTTTACTTTATGAGGGTGAGTATTTTGCCTGTAGGTAAAGTGCGATGCCCGTGGAGGCCAGAGGAGGCTGTCGAGTCCCCAATACTAGTCACAGACAGCCACCACATGAGTGCTAGAAACAACCCTGGCCCACTAGAAGAGTAACGCTCTCAATGGCTGAGCTCTCCTACCCCGAAGAAACTACAAACTACAGCAGATTATTTTTTGAGACAAGGTCTCACTATGTAGCCTTGGCTGGCCTGGAACTCATGTAGAACAGCCTGGCCTCAAACTGACTCTGCCTCCCAGGTGCCGGGATTAAAGCGCATACCACCACGCCAGGCTCTTCTTAATAGGAAAGTACTAAGTCATCTTTTTGAGTAGGTTACTGTAACAACTGTAAGACCTGCTGATGATCATCACCTCTTTTTTGGCTTCTTTTTTGGGATCATAATCACTGTCGTTCCCGTCCACTGGGTGGGCTTCTTCCACATCATCATCACTGAAAAAAACAAGATTAATGGATCTTCTAATAACATTACTAGATGTCCCTTAACAGAAGAGATGTCAGTGGGAAGAGGAGATTGGAATTTGGATTTCTGTTGTGTTAAGAGACATTTATCATTTGGGGCTTACAGAATCATTTAAGCAACATTTCTAGCTAAAAACTAAGATTCAATGGGGAAGAAATTTAGAAAGAAATGCCATTTAGGGAAGAGATCACATACAGTTTGAAATATAATTTCAGTTCTCTAGTTGGAGTAAAGACAGACAAAACCAAGAAGAAATGATTGTATATTTTGAGACAGATACAGTTATACAATAATGGGAACTTCAGTTACTCAGGTTACCTTGGAAAGGTCACCTTCTATACAGAGAGGGAGAGGGAGAGGGAGAGAGAGATAGATAGAGATACTGGGGGACTGAGCTAGCCTCACACATGCGAAGCCAGCGCTCTACCACTGAGTACTTTCTTTACCGTTCTTTGGTAAGTACTGAACAGCCCATCACAAAAATCCCCGAAGGCTGAAGTTCTTCCTGTCAATCTGACCACCTGGCTCTTCCTCACAGTGCTGACTTTCCTGCTTCATGAAGTACACGCAGCCCAATGACTTGTCTAACAGTGCATCAAAGAAAAGCATCCCGCCTACCTGTCACCTTGACTATGCCTGCTGGCCAGTTTCCGAGCCTGGCGATCCATCAAACTTGTCCTCGAGCGGGTCTTCTTCCAAGAATAGTAATACTTCACCAGACTTGCGATCGTTTTATCTGGAAGCTTAAAATGAAATTCCTGTTATGTTGAAAAGCTTAATCCATAAACTCTGATTGACAGCACGTACAACTGAGTGTTACTCTTTGATAATCAAGGCATAAATGAAAATGATTTCATGGGTACTTTTATGAATTCTAAGAACTAAAATGTACTGTTAACAGTCAGAGTACTCCACCACACAAATGGCCCTGACATTGATAAATGAATATTACTGTGGGAGAAGGTAGCATAAACTAATTTAATGAGACTGTTCCCCAAAGTCCCCGCACAGCCACGCTAGCATTCAGTATTTGTTTCTATAAAGAGTTACTTAACTCTTTTTTTTTTTCCTCTAGATTAGAATTTTTTTATATGTAACTGAAATTAGTATAAATCTCATGGAAAATAGATGTTCATTTACATACAACCTGTGGTCTTCTGAGTCTGGCTTCTTTCACATAGCAAAGTGTTTTCAAGAAGAGTCCATTCTTAATGAATTTCTGAATCACTTTGTTTTAAATCCGGTTTTGTAATAGTAAATTAAGCAGACATCATAACTACTAGACAGTCTTGGATACTGAGGTTGCTGATGATCACACACTGGTGTGTCATTCTGGCAAGCAAGGCCGCAAATTCCCTGCCAAAAATGTTCTCTACAATAACGGAAGACATCCAGACACAGAGATATAATACCTATTTACTCTGGTTAAATATACTAATGCACTAACTGCTTAGATTTACGCTACTCTGATACAATTCTAGAAATTTAACAACTAGAAATACAGAGCATTTCCCTAAAAGAACAAAAGTGACACCTCACAACACTGAGACAGAGTTTTAAAATGGACTTTCATGTCCAAAATATAAGAAAACAAAATCCCATTATTAAAAACGGAAACATTTGAAGACAGGTGTGATGGTACACATCTTTAGTCCCAGCACTCAAGGAGGCAGAGGTTGGGGTGGGGGGTGTCTCTGAGATGGAGGCCAGCCTGGTCTACATAGCCACTGCCAGACCAGCTAAGGCTACAGGAAGACCCTGTCTCAAAAAGACCAAAAAATTAAAAACAAACAAAAAACCCATGAAAACATTCAAAAATAAGTTTGAAATGCCATTTTTTTTTTCTTGGAACAACCACCATATTTAATAACTATTAAACATTTGACTCAAAATTTAATTAAATGAAACAGGACACATCTGTCACGCATGGGTGATTGTAGAAAACAGACTGCATGCAAATACACCTATTTTAAATATTTTTTAAAAATTAAAGTTAAATGGAAACCTTTTTGTATTTAATAGTTAGGAAGCATTCAACAGTAGCTTAAGATGTCATTTGGTAAGACCAACACCACGTACCATTTGCTGGATCCTGTGAAAGCTCTTCCCGTGGAAACTAAAGGCTTGTTCAAACAACACCTTGTCTTCCACAGTCCACTCATCCGGGAAGGGGGTAAAGTTAGGGAGGTCGGCAAGGGACTTCTCAATGTCATGCTTATGCCAGAACAACATGCCGAGTGCCTGTGGAGAGACCACCCCTGATGTTGATGGACTTCCGTTCCATCACACTTACACACAAATTAGATTCAATTTCTGAGTCTAAGACTTCAACTTAGAATAAGCTCTCAGTTTGAAGCTTTTAACCAGGGTGCTCAGGCAGCAAACCTTACTTACTCATTTTTTTCAAGAAAAGTATTTGCAAAAATCATGTTTGTATGTAGGAAAAAGTAAGTTGAGGAGTGACTTCAATTCTAAAGCAGGTTTGTATGCTCATGACAAGACTTTTCTCACATGTACTAATTTGTCACTGTGTAGGGGGAGTACGCTGGAAGGAAGATACCTAGTAAATGAATGCAATTAGGAATGCAACAATCAGCTGGAACTCAGCACCTAAGTACCAAGCTTTTACCTTTTAGGGTTATGTTACAGGCTAAGCAACTAAGAGGTAAGGGTACTTTAACTACAACTGACTCAATTTAACATTTTACCATGTTTTTATTTTTTAATTTTTAAATTTTCTATTTATTCATTTATCTATTTTTTGGTCTTTTTGAGACAGGGTCTCCCTGTAGCCCCAGCTGTCCTGGAACTCACTATGTAGACCAGGCTGGCCTTGAACTCACAGATCCACCTGCCTCTGCCTACTGAGTGCTGGGATTAAAGGTGTGTGCCACCACTCCCGGCCATGTTTTTATTTTAAATATGAGTTATATATTTATTTTAGGTTAATCCTATATTGTATACATAATTATCAGAAATCATATAAATAACTTCAATGACTCGATTATCAAGGAATTTCTAAAAATTCCGTTACTTTTCTCTCTAATGTAGTAGGGCCTCTATCTTACTATAAAGAATGAGGTATCACTTAGGGGGTAAACTGTTAGTCTTTTTTTTTTTTTTTTAATTTTTATTTTATGTGTACAAGTGTAATGCCTGCATGTATGTGAGTGCGCCTGTGTCATGCAATGCCACGGAGGTCGGAAGAGGGCTTCGGATTCCCCCGGACCTGGAGTTAAGGACAGTTCGTAGCCGCCATGTGGGTGCTGGGAATAGAACCCGGGTCCTCTGCAAGAGCAGTCAGTGCTCTTAACCGCTGAGCCATCTCTCCAGCCCCAACTGTTATCTTTAAAAAAAGTGACCTGGCATTTTAAGTAGTGAGCCTGCAAGTAAATTTCTGTACTTTTATAATAGTACTTTAACATAAACGGGAGAAAGTGCGTATGGACACTCACACTGTGAACATTAACCAGGCATGGTAGTGTGCACCTGTGATCCTAGCATTTGGGAACAAGGCAAGAGGATCACAAGTTCTAGGCTAATCACAGAAAGGCCCCATCTCAAAAACAAAAGAAACAACCCCCACAAACAAAAATCCCTAAAACCAAAGAACAGGCTAGCAAAGGGTTCAAAAATCTCCCTAAAAGTTAACTCATCCTTAGCTGTATAAACACATCAATTTCACAAAAATTTTCAGTTTATAACATTACACATGAACACACGCTCCAGTACACATATGTGCACACACACAAACACATGAACATAGACAGGCATATACCACATACCCATAGACACACTAAAGAAAAGGTTTCTCCACATACCTGTTCAACGTTGTAGCCATGCTTCTCCTTTGCAATTGCAATATACTCATCCACTGCAACGAGACAGCGTTGGACTGTTACTTACACACCTCATCTTCTTAGGTCTACTCTTGTTTGTTTAAACATGGCAAAAATAATTTATTATTTCAGGTAAGAAAAAAAAAACCCAAAAACCAAAAACAGCCAAAGCTATCTTCCATGAAATGTTGCTGAAAGAAACCTAACATATGTAAACAGGATCAGAAGCTCACCCGGTTTAACATTTCATTTAGTATGACAACTCTATGACCATACAGAATCTAATTATTAAATCACATCACTATAATAATTCTGCTATGCTGGAAAATATCCTGAGAGTGGACAATGGAACCTAATTACGCTAGAACCACTAAGATAAGCTCCTGACTTTCTACTATAGTCTTCGCAAGATGACACTTAGCTCTTTCAGAGCCTTTCAAATCCCTAAAACTCTTCTTAACAGCTCCTGCTTGCCATTCAGTGTTTAAGCATGTGATTTTCATTATCCTCCATATGTAATTAAATCAAAAGACGTATTCAGAGAGATACAAGTTTTGGTTTTTTGAGACAGGGTCTCACTGTGCAGCCCTGGCTAGTCTGGAACTCACTATGTAGATCAGGCTGGCCTTGAACTCGCAGAGATCCACCTTCCTCGGCCCCCTTCCCAACACACCCAGGCAGATAACAGTTTTACTAATGATATGTCGCTACTTCAAGGCCTCATCACCAGGCAGTCTGCAACACTTAGGGTTCACTTTTACGGAGTCCACATAATTGTGCTTTCATTCTCTAAAATTATTTTAAACACATATAATTAGTTCCATAAACCCATCTCTGCGATGCAGACATCCCAGAATTCTGACCCTGGAACAGCTACTGTCCACCTGAACTTGACTTTCTGCTTGATTCAACTACTTACCTTTGGTGAGGTAATCTGAACTCCTATACCTTGGTTTCCTCCTCTAAATTCATGATAAAAACAGTATCTTACTTTTGTGACTCAATGAGTTAATATGCAGAAAATGCTCAATAGAGTATGTTGCACTTTTTAAATACTTCTTAGTATCTTATTATTGGCCAACATGACTTGATATATGAATATGCTATTATAATATGCCAATAGAACAGAGGCTATTTTTGTGGCTATTATAGCTCAAGTATAATTTGGTGCACAAAAATCCAAGTATCATATTTTGCTTAGAATCCATTTAAATACGTATTTAGATATATGCCAAATAAAATTTAACAAAAATGTATTACGGTCCCTTACATGGCAAGTTAAACAGCACCAACTGACCGGTGGTGACCCTCAACCTTGACTGGGAATGAACATCATCACAGGAGCTTTTTAAAAAAGGTGTAGGCTTTACCTCTGAAGACTAAACCAGTACTTTTTTTTTTTTGGTCTTTTTGAAACAGGGTCTCTCTGTAGCCCCAGTTGTCCTGAACTCAGTATGTAGACCAGGCTGGCCTTGAACTCACAGAGATCCGCCTGCCTCTGCCTCTGGGATTAAAGGCGTGCGCTACCACACCTGGCCCCCCTAAACCAGTGCTTTTAAAAGAAGACTCCTTAGCCAGGTGTGATGGCACACGCCTGTAGTCCCAGCACTTGGGAGGCAGAGGCAGGTGAATCTCTGTGACTTCAAGGCCAGCCTGGTCTACATGGCGAGTTCCAGGCCAACTGGGGCTACAGGGAGACCCTGTTTCAAAAAGACCAAAAATAATAAATAAATAAATAAATAAGCGAGAGAGTGTGAGCTCCCTAAGAGGGTTCAATGCAGAACACAACCAGGGTTAAAAATCACTACCACAGACCTGCACTGGACAACCATATGCATACCTTCCCACCAGGACACGCTACCTTTCTGCACTTTGTTTTCTACTATGCTAAGAATGCACAGTCATATAAAACATCAAAATTCCATGACATGCTGATGCTCGGTTTATGAATGAAAACCTTTGCCTCTAATGATGAGTGGACCTGGAGAGCTCAAGTCTCTTTCAGATTTTTAGTGTACAGTTTCAGGCTAAATGAACAATTTCAGGTTTCTTTTGGAATGCCTCAAGGGCACAAAATTCCTATTTTACCTATTTTACCAGCAGCTAAAACTTTAGCTAGTGTTCTAAAGCTCTTCAATGACAAGGATTACTAGGTATGTGGACGCATACTCAGTTCCCAATTTTTCGTTCTCACTGCATTGATGAGCATGATTAGACCATAGGCACATGATACACAGGACACGTTTATTTCTCTAAGACTGAATAACTCATAACAGGACGTCTTTAAGATGTTAGGAAATATTTTTTTAAAGAGAAGCTACTTTATATCTTTAAGACCGCTGTTTAGTGTGGTTGCTGTTGTTACTGAATAATTTCAGTGATGACTGAATGGAGGGGTGGAGATCTCAGTGTTGTTACCTGTATGTTGCCTATATCTGATGTGCCACAAAAGATTCAGGTCCGCTACATCACACTGAAGTCTAAAGTCACGCCATGATTCAAGAAGTGTGGTCAAGAACCCAGGAGGCCCCGTCCAGACTGGAGAGCGCGAAGGTGACCTGATGGCTACCGCTGTCAGTCCTCCCCTTCCATTGAAAATGGAAATGAGAGGGGCTCTCTGGAGTTTGAAGGCATTTCTGACAGCTCCACGGACTGAGGAGAGCCTGGCACAGGTCTAGAGCAGCTCTCTCCGCTGCGGAGGGCAGAAACAGCACCACCACAGACCCTGGGTGTGCACTCTTCACAGGCCTCACACCAACTGGCACGAACAAACTCACTATCTTTCAAAAGGAAAACATTCTTACGTAGCACCCTCCATAAAAAAAAAAAAGTAAAATTCAGTTCTTAAAGAACCTAAAAGACTCAAAGACAATTATCAATTGTGTTCTGTGGTCTGAATCCCTGTTGATCTTAACATTCAATCTCAGAAAAAACTTACATTTGGCATCTGGAATACTGTGATACGGAGACCACACGAGCATTCCTCCATTGTCTTTATCTGTGTACTTGGTCACACCTAGGGAAAAAATTATTTTGAATATGATAGGTTTTACTTATATTCCAAGTTAAGTACAACCAGAACTGTATGGGTTTCAGAACAGCACCCGTGGAGGAGAGCGGAGAGCGGGTACAGAGAGGAACGTGCATGCCAACAACGCAGACATCCTACATAGGAACACACAGGGAAAGTGTTTCCTGCCCACTTTAAAGACGCTCCTACCTCCTGACAGTGGGTGCTGAGTCTCACCTGACCTTCTGTAGGCTACTTTGGGGTCACCACTCAGTATCCTGACCTTTTCAATTAGAGGATACCTCCCCCTTAGGTACTGCTTTGCCCTGTATCTAAATGGGCCAAGATTGTTACAATTTTATTTTATTTTTAATTTTTTCTGTCTTTTTGAGACAGGGTTTCCCTGTAGCCCCAGCTGTCCTGGAACTATGTAAACCAGGCTGGCCTTGAACTCACAGACATCCGCCCGCCTCTGCCTCCCAGTGCTGGGATTAAAGGCGTGTGCCACCACACCCAGCTTGCAATTTTAATACTAGTCTGCTTTCAGGACTTTTACTCTTGCTCCTCTGCCTGCTAGCTTTCCTTTTAAGCTTAATTTCATAAAAATATGCCCCGAGTCAAAGAGGTAAAAGTTAATGCCATTTCTTCTTAATGTAATCTGTGTAAGTCCAGAAGTCTACTATCCTTTCCTAATTTATTTCTAATCTGTTACCATCTATAGTCAGAAACATCGAGCCTCACTGATGTAAATGAGGAACGAACAGAAAGGGTGAAGCCTGACCCAGCGCCCCAGAGGCAGAGAGCCACTACCTGCAGGCGACAGTTTCATTTTACTTATACAGGGTCTTTTTCATTTCTACCCAACTCTTGGCTACTAGCCAGTTAAAACTATCAACAAGTCAAGCACTGCCATCACACGTTTTAAGACAATTTGTTTATGACATAGCTGACTTGATGAGGCGCATGGCTGCCTACTGCTAATGGCCAAAATTTCAAAATCAGTCACATAAAATACTAATGGGATTAGCACTCGGGAGGCAGAGGCAGGCAGATCTCTGTGAGTTCAAGGTCAGCCTGGTCTACATAGTGAGTTCCAGGACAGCTGGGGCTACAGGGAGACCCTGTCTCAAAAAGACAAAAAAAAACCTAATAGAATTGTGAGGTTAAGCTGCGGTTGTTATAAAAAATATTTGAGCAGAGACATTCATCACTACCACAATCTACACACTGACAAGTTAAGTTTCTAAGCAATGTTAGTATCATTCATAAGTTCACTTTTGGAGTCATCAAATATTACCAAATGTTCAACTAAAAAAAACTGGAGTTAAGGATGGTTCGTAGCCACCACATGGGTGCTGGGAATCGAACCTGGGTCCTCTGCAAGAGCAGTCAGTGCTCTTAACTGCCGGACCATCTCTTTAGCCCCTTACTAAAAATTTTTAGTTGAAGGGCTGGAGAGTTGGCTCAGCGGTTAAGAGCACTGGATGCTCTTGCAGAGGACCCAGGTTAGGTTAGCACCCACAGGTCAGCTAACACCCATCTCAAGTTCCAGGGGATCTGACACCCTCTTCTGGCCTCCAGGGGCACTCAATGCATATGTACTTACATGCAGCCAAAACCCTCAGAAGCATAAAATGTAAAAACCAAGGGGCTGGAGAGATGGCTCAGTGGGTAAGAGAACTGGTGTGCTTGCAGAGGACCTGGGTTCGATTCCCAGCACCCCATGGTGGCTAAGAATCATCCGTGTAACTCCAGTTTCAGGGGATCCGACACCCCCTCTTCTGTCCTCTACGGGCACTGCATGACACGGGTACACTTATATGCAGGCATAATACTCATACACATAAAACAAAAATAAAAAATTTAAAAAATTGGTGTACATTTGTAATCCCATTATTTGGGAGGCAGAGAGGCAGGAGGGTTGGGAGTTCAAGGCCACCCTGGGAGACAGTGAAACTGTCTCAAAACAACAAAAAACAATGGCAACAAAAATGCACTTCAGTGGGGCCCAGCACTGAGGAGCTGGAACTGGAGGCAGGCTTGGCTTGTTGTAGGAACTGATCTCAATGAGAATTCCCCACGCAAGCAGGCAGGCAGGCAAAGAACCAACGACAAAGCGAAAAGAATGTTTTTTGTGTATTTATATGGGCCTGACATGTTAAAAAACAAAAAAACAACCAAAGATTACAATCAGTTATTTAACTCAGTAACAACAGAACTTTAGAATGGGAGACTCTGTCTCTTCCAATATTCTTTTATGGAAATGCAAACTGGTTTTTTTTTTTTTTTGGAGACAGGGTCTCTCTGTAGCTCCAGCTGGCCTATAACGATGTGGACCAGGCTGGCCTTGAACTCACAGAGATTTGCCTGCCTCTGCCTCCTGAGTGCTGGGACTAAAGGTGTGTGCCACCAGGCACAACATCTCACTTTTATGAACAAGAAATAAGCCTAGAGAAGCAGGTAGTTCATCCAAAGTAACTGAGCTGTATGAGCCTGCAGACTCCTGACAACCACACAAAACTCCTCAGGAGGCTGGCAGCCAGGCACTACCTAAGAGACCAGTGAGCAACTGATTACCAGAACTAGTAACTGATCTCCAGCTGAAGGATAATAATCAGAAATCAGGTAAACTGTCCCCACCCAAAACATGATTTACAACTGAAGGATAAAAATCAGAAATCCAGTTAGTAAATCCTAAACATTGGCCCAACCACTTAGGCCTCAGCTTCCCCAGCCCAACAGCACCCTCTCCAGGTGCGTAATTCATCATCCCTTCTACAAAAACACTCAAATTTTCTACACTCTCCTAATATTCTCAGAGCCAGGAGCTTTTCTTCCAAATAACTTGTATCCAGGGCTTCTGTAAACAGTTTCCATAAAAACAGACCGAGTGCTTTATGCAAGGGAAAAGTGCTAACCATTTCTCAGTTTCTATCATTAACTATGTGTTATCTTCTCCAAAGTAACGTTCAATTATACTAAACTGACATGAAATAAGTCCGTCACAGGACAGTACAATACTACATAATTTCCTTGAGAAAAAATTTCTAATAATTGCTATAAATAGTAAATGCTTTTAATTGTCCCGTTGGGCCAGAGATGATTAAAGAGAAAATAAATGAATTTAAGTAATGTGAGGTCTATCCTTATTTTTATAAAGGATATTAGTTACAGTCAGAGTAAATAAACTGAAAGTTCTAATCTTAAAAACATTAACACTTCCCCCGCCACAAATATTCTACGCAGGTAAAACAAGCAATATGTGTTTATCGGTTAGTTAATCCAAATAATGGCCACACACGACCACCTAAAATAGTATTTTGCTTTAATCAATTCTTCCAATTTTGAATTTTCCAGATGATTTATCACTAAAAAATGACAACAAATACTTCTTGACGCTAAAGCACATGCAGTTTGTCGGAGTCTAGCTCTTTACACAAGACCCCTCATTAACTGCACATCGTCAGTCAGTAAATACTGACTTGTTTATGAGTTCATGACCTAACTCAGCTGCTGAGTTCTAACCCGAAAATGAATTTAATATTAAAAATACAGAGCACCAGTGAAAGCTCCAAATCGTTCCTCACAGTTATAAAACCTTTACTGAACAACTGCCAGTCATTTAGTCCCGGCGGGAATTCCACGGACTAGCTTCTCACAGCTCGGAAACCCGAAGCTCAGAGAAGGCCGGCCACTTGCTCGGTCTATCCTGCAGCAAAGCTCCAGGCTCAGTACTCCTGGAAGCCCACCCTGTGACTCTGGGACCGTCCGACCCCGCCGGTGAGCCCTAATGAGGATGGTCTCCGGGTTCCCGGAGCTGCAAACTGGCTTTCCCCCGCTGTGCGCGAAGCCCCACCGGCACCAAGTACAACTCCAGAGACGGTGGGGGGGGAGGCCGGACAGGTGGGCAAGAGGGCAGTAGAGGGGAGCAGGGGCGGTGGGCCGTGGGGGGAAGGAGGGCAGGGGAGGGGGGCAGGGGAGGTGGGCAGGCGGCGTAGGCCCGGAGGGGCGGCTCCAGCCCGGGCGCTCGTCCGCGGAACTCTCGCCCAATCGCCGCGTCGCTGCGCGTCCCGTGACCCGGAGGCAGCTCGGAGAGTCGGCAGGGCGCCTCGGCTGGCCGGGACCCGGGCCCGCAGCTCCGGAGAAAATGTCTCCTTGGCAGGCGCGGCCGTGGCTGCGGTCAGGCTCCCCAGGGCCGGCGGGCGTCCGGCCTACCCGCCCCGGAGAGCCACAGCCGCCCCGCCAAGTCCGTGCAAGGCGAGCCCGAGGCCCGGGCGGGTGACAGCGTCCGGGGTCTGCCGCGGCAGCCCAGTGCACACGGAGCCCGGAGCACACGGATCCCGTTGCACACGCGGTTCCCGGAACCTCGACCCCAGGCGGCTGCGGGGCCTCGGGCGGGAACCATGTTAACCTTGCCGTGCACCCCGCGCCCTGGGTCCGCGCCCGCCCCGGGTCTCCCCGGCACCTTGACCCACCCAGCTGCCCGTGTGCCCCGCACCCCGGAAAGGCAGAGCACGCTACCTGGGTCGAACTCAGGGATCCGAGCTTGGTATTCGGCCCCGACTCGCATCCCCACATCTGCAAGGCAATGCCAGAGATGTAAAAAGGGCCGACAGCGCGGCGGCGGGAGCGCGGCGGGCGAGGCCGCGG